TTTATTTTGAATTTTATAAAAAAAAATTTTCAAAAAATATACAGGTCAAAATTTTGCTCATCCTTTTATACTTACAATAGTTGTGATTCTTCAAAAAATCCAAAGTTCACATTTTGGTCTCACATCAGTAATTTAGCCCCATAATACAGTTCACCAAACTTTTGGTTGAATCAACCCAAACTTTATTTGATTCAATCAAATTCATTCCTTATTCGAAATATTTATATAAAAATAAACAAAGCAATTATTTCAATGAAATAAATATTTATTTGAATTTAACAAATTTTGTTTGAAGTAACCAAAAAATTGTTCAATCCCTACTGGAAAATTCCCATGTGGGAATCCATAAAGGTTTCCATATAAAAGCTTTTGCGTAAAAAACATTCCCAACATTTTTTTCTATTATTAGTAGGGAAAAAATTATAAGCAAAGCAAATAAAATATTGCTCTTATTTGTTATTGTAAATATCTCGAAAAATATTAAATTGCAATTCTTATTTTGAATTTAGTGAAGTAAATATAAAATGCTTTCAAATTTTATTAATATTGAAGTATATCATATTTACTATATTTAAAAAAAATTATACATAAGTTCAGATTAAAAAAGATTTTTAAACAATGTATATATAAAAAAATTTTAATTGCCCAATTCCAAATTAATATAATTAAAACTATTATCATTACTCTGGCTAATAGTTAAAATATATAACATTTTTTTTTAATTAAAAAATTCTTAAACAATAGTAAATTTGTAAAAAAAAATATGTAATGGATTTACTATAGTCATTGTGACGAAAAATGAAATAAATAATAAAGGAATTATTAAAGATAAGTAATTTGTTTTATTTAAATAAGAATCAATTAAAATAAATTTTTGCATTTATTTTTTTATAACTATTTTTAAAAAATATTTCATTCAATAACATTTAGATTCCAATATATAATAATAAATAATAAAAATAAAATAAAATTTCGAACCTTAAAAAAATAAATAAATTGTTTGAAATTTAAATATTTCTTTTAATTACTAACAGATTTTATTTACTTCTTGTTTGATAATTATTTACATTATTATAAGTTTGATAAATTTGATTGTAATATTTGAAAATATGAAAATTTGAGAAACATTAGTTAGGGTAAATTATGAATTTATATTGCGTTCCCAAAATGATCGACTTTAACAATTATTATTGCATCCATTTCCATTTGTTATTCCTCCTATGATATTCGAAACAATATGTCCTCCACTTTGGTTTTTATCGCTTCCAACATTTCCATTGTCAACATTGTTACTATTTCCTCCTTCGGTCATATATCTTATGTTGTTTCCATTTCCCACATTGTTTCCACTTCCTCCATAGTTTCCACGTCTTACATTGCTTCCATTTCCTCCAGTGTTTCCACCTACATTGAAATAAAAAAAAGATTATAAATAACAGCAAGAATATTGATTTCGAAATGAATTCTGACGTTCGTTTTAAAAAAAAACACTATATCAAGAAAATCAAGATAGCCGTAAGACAGGGAAAATTTTTGTTGTCAATGAAACTTGATATATTGAACATATATATTTACAGAAAAAGGCAATATACTTTTTAAAAAGGTAAAAATTTTTAACAATTTTTGATTCTAAAAGGGATAATACTTTATCATCTATTCACCTTTTTTCACTCATTGAAATTTTGTCACATATTTTGATAATTTCTTAATTTTTTCACCTTTCTCATGCTTTGGTTAATTCATGGATGCAATATTTAAAAAATAATAAAATGTACAATGGGTCAGTCCACTGACTTTCGTCTAATAGTGGTTGCGAACAAATTTTTAAAAAATCTAGTTTTAATATATATGTGAAACTCGATGATTCCCTGAGTTCATTAACCATAATATTATGGTAAAAATTTTATTCCCTTTAAAAATATTAAATATCAAAAGTAGGAGGTTCACAATGTGATTTTGTAACCTTAAATTTTTCAATTTTTTTAAAAACGCTATTATTAAAAAACTATTAAAAATTAGATGTTGGAACTCACTAAAAACATAAATCACTTTATTTCGCACAGAGGAACGAAAGAATTATTGCAATAATTTATTATTTTTGGATGATATACGATTTTAAAAAAAATTTCATTTAAATATTCTCAAGATTTTTATTTACTTATAACTTTTTTGTCGGTGCTCCGAAAAAATTGAGGTTTTGCACAAAGATTTTTTATAATATTCTTTACCTTCTATTAAAATCTTACGAAGGTGTTTTGCTTCGTTTTGGAGATATTAATTTTCAAAATTTTCTATTAACCCTTTCAGGGGCAGTGGGACGTATACGTCCCACCTTTTTTGTTGTTGTATTTTTGGTATTTCCGGCATATTTATCTAATAATAATCATATATTTCTTATTTTTAGATTCTAAGGATATAATATAACGAATCTATAATATTGTTTATGAATAATTTATTATTGTTAACTTAATATTATTCCATCAATCTGAAAAATATGCATTTTTTTAATAATTAATTCAGCTATTTGTAAACGCGAAGTGCTACGACTTTGAAAATCTTTACTCGGGGGTTTATGGGGTCCCTGATTACGAATCTGAGGTCAGTTTTTCAAAAATCAAAATGGCGGATCCAATATGGCGGACGACTTTTTAAAAATATAATGCAATTTGTATGAAACTCGTTACCCCGAGTAACAAGTTTCAAGCGAATATATTGAATTTTAAAAAAAATGTCCGCCATATTGGATTCGCCATTTTGAATTTTTAAAATTTGCAAAATCTGACCTCGGATTTGTATTCAGCGACCCAAAAAACGTATAAATACGTAATGAAACAAAAATTTGTATGCTTAGAATAATGTGCCCCTGAAAGGGTTAAAAAAGGTTAATTAAACGACTTGAAGTTAACTGACCAATTTCAAATCGCTACATTTTAATATATTTTTATAAAAAATGGAGCAGTTTGAATTTGGTTAGTTAACTTCAAGTCTTTTAATTAACCTTTTACATAAAATTTTTTTAAAATTATTATCTCCAAAACGAAGCAAAACATCTTCGTGAGATTTTAAAGGAAGGTAAAGAATATTATAAAAAATCATTGTGCAAAACCTCAATTTTTTCGGAGCACCGACAAAAAAGTTATAAGTAAATAAAAATCTTGAGAATATTTAAATGAAATTTTTTTTAAAATCGTGTATCATACAAAAATAATAAATTTTTGCAATAATTCTTTCGTTCCTCTGTGCAGAATAAAGTGATTTATGTTTTTGGTGAGTTCCAACATCTAAGTTTTAATAGTTTTTTAATAATAGCGTTTTTAAAAAAATTGAAAAATTTAAGGTTACAAAAGCACATTGTGAACCTCTTACTTTTAATATTTAATATTTTTAAAGGGAATACATATATTAAAACTAGATTTTTTTAAAATTTGGTCGCAACCACTATTAGACGAAAGTCAGTAGACTGACCCACAATTTAAAAGCATTGATTTAAGCTCAGGAATGTTATAAAAAATGTTAACATTTCTTGACATTCCTTAAGAATATAATTATTACTTTGGAGAGTAGAAAATTGACAGATTTTTTTCTTTTCTATAAATGATTCAATTCACCAATGCTTGCATTTTTCAAAATTTTTCATTAATTTAAAAATTATTTAAACCAAATTTCAATAAATCTATATTTAAATTAGTTAAGGCATTTATTTGCACATTTAAATCTCTTCAAATTTTTAGGACACATTTCAATTTAATTAAATCTTAATCAATTCAAAATTTAATAGATCCAAACTACAATTCATTGTAAAATTTAATTAAAATTTCAAATGATTCAACTTTGAATCAATTATAATTTATATTGGTCAAAGCAAATTTTTCTGATAAAAAATACTCAAGTAAATAATTATAAACAATATAAGTTTCAAATTTTTCGAATTTTAATTAATCCCAGATATTGACAAAATAAAATTGTTGTCTGTAAATAACGGAAATTTCATCGGGTTAAAATATTTTAGTTTGAGTTGAAATGTTGAATAGAGCGTCTTTTTTAAAACGTACAAAAAAAATTGCAATTCAAATAAAATTGCAAAAAAAATATATCTAGGGAAAAAATTTTCGATCATCAAATATGATCATTTGAAATTTTAAAGAAGGTTTTTGAGGAAAATGGTACATGTGATATTTAAAAAAAATGATTACCTTCACTCTCCGTTTCGCATCCAATGCAACATAGTTTTGAGGTACAGCCGTTCCTGCGACTACCTAATTAAAGAACAATTAATTTTTAATATCGAAATAATAAAATTTTTCTTTATAATCAAATTGTAATATTCAAACAAAATAATCATTTCATAAATTAAATCTGAATTTGTTAATTCTGTAAATTGATTTTGTCTTGATCATATATATTGTATAAAATATAAGAAAAAATAAAATTATGATAATTTTATAGAGTGTGTTTTACACTATAGGAGAACATTGTATTACAAATGTAAATTACCTGGACGAGCAAAAGAGTGAGCAACAAGTAGAAGGGTAAAGAAAAGCACAAAACATTTAACAGATGCCATGATCAAAAATCACAATTTTTCCAAAAAAGAGTTGCTGTTTTACTTTCCTAAAAATAGGTAATTGTCTTCTTGAAGACCCAAAAGACACTGAAGTTCTCAGTTCTTTTAAGACCTTTATATATTCGTTTTGTGAATGACTATAATTACGGTGACAACTAATTACTTAGATAAGTTTAGTTAATACGCACTAATAGTATTTTAATGAAGATCTGTGTCGTGGACATTTTCAAAAATCAAAGTAGAGAAAGCTTCTGCATTATACGGTCATTTCTAATTTTTGAAAATGTCCACGACACAGATCTTCATTAAAATACTATTAGTGCGTATTAACTAAACTTATCTAAGTAATTAGTTGTCACCGTAATTATAGTCATTCACAAAACGAATATATAAAGGTCTTGAAAGAACTGAGAACTTCAGTGTCTTTTGGGTTTTCAAGAAGACAATTACCTATTTTTAGAAAAGTAAAACAGCAACTCTTTTTTGGAAAAATTGTGATTTTTGATCATGGCATCTGTTAAATGTTTTGTGCTTTTCTTTACCCTTCTACTTGTTGCTCACTCTTTTGCTCGTCCAGGTAATTTACATGTGTAATACAATGTTCTCCTATAGTGTAAAACACACTCTATAAAATTATCATAATTTTATTTTTTCTTATATTTTATACAATATATATGATCAAGACAAAATCAATTTATAGAATTAACAAATTCAGATTTAATTTATGAAATGATTATTTTGTTTGAATATTACAATTTGATTATAAAGAAAAATTTTATTATTTCGATATTAAAAATTAATTGTTCTTTAATTAGGTCGTCTCATAAAAGTTATAACTGAAGAGTGTACCTCAAGACTATGTTGCAGTGGATGCGAAACGGAAAGTGAAGGTAATCATTTTTTTTAAATATCACATGTACCATTTTCCTTAAAACCTTCATTAAAATTTCAAATCATCATATTTGATGATCAAAAATTTTTTCCCTAGATATATTTTTTTTGCAATTTTGTTTGAATTGCAATTTTTTTTGTACGTTTTAAAAAAGACGCTCTATTCAACATTTCAACTCAAACTAAAATATTTTAACCCGATGAAATTTCCGTTATTTACAGACAACAATTTTATTTTGTCAATATCTGGGATTAATTAAAATTCGAAAAATTTGAAACTTATATATCGTTTATAATTATTTACTTAAGTATTTTTTTTTAGAAAAATTTGCTTTGACCAATATAAATTATAATTGATTCAAATTTGAATCATTTGAAATTTTAATTAAATTTTACAATGAATTGTAGTTTGGATCTATTAAATTTTGAATTGATTAAGATTTAATTAAATTGAAATGTGTCCTAAAAATTTGAAGAGATTTAAATTTTGTGTAAAATGAATTTTGGATTGATTGAATTGATAGCTGATCGATTACAATGTTAATTGCAATAAATGCCTTAACTAATTTAAATATAGATTTATTGAAATTTGGTTTAAATAATTTTTAAATTAATGAAAAATTTTGAATAATGCAAGCATTGGTGAATTGTATCATTTATAGAAAAGAAAAAAATCTGTCAATTTTCTGCTCTCCAAAGTAATAATTATATTCTTAAGGAATGTCAAGAAAATGATAACATTTTTTTTAACATTCCTGAGCTTAAATCAATGTTTTTAAATTGTACATTTTATTATTTTTTAAATATTGCATCCGTGAATTAACCAAAGCATGAGAAAGGTGAAAAAATTAAGAAATTATCAAAATATGTGACAAAATTTCAATGAGTGAAAAAAGGTGAATAAATGATAAAGTATTATCCCTTTTAGAATCAAAAATTGTTAAAAATTTTTACCTTTTTAAAAAGTATATTGCCTTTTTCTGTAAATATATATGTTCAATATATCAAGTTTCCTTGACAACAAAAATTTTCCCTGTCTTACGGCTATCTTGATTTTCTTGATATATAGTGTTTTTTTTTAAAACGAACGTCAGAATTCATTTCGAAATCAATATTCAATATTCTTGCTGTTACTTATAATCTTTTTTTTATTTCAATGTAGGTGGAAACACTGGAGGAAATGGAAGCAATGGAGGAAGTGGAAACAATGTGGGAAATGGAAACAACATAAACTATATAAACAAAGGAGGAAGTAGTAACAATGTTGACAATGGAAATGTTGGAGGAAATAAAAACCAATATGGAGGACATATTGTTTCGAATATCCAAGGAGGAAGAGGAAATAGACTCATAATAACAAATGGAAAAAATGGAATATATGGAAGTGGATGCAATAATAATTGTTAAAGTCGATCATTTTGGGAACGCAATATAAATTCATAATATTACCCTAACTAATGTTTCTCAAATTTTCATATTTTCAAATATTACAATCAAATTTATCAAACTTATAATAATGTAAATAATTATCAAACAAGAAGTAAATAAAATCTGTTAGTAATTAAAAGAAATATTTAAATTTCAAACAATTTATTTATTTTTTTAAGGTTCGAAATTTTATTTTATTTCTATTATTTATTATTATATATATTGGAATCTAAATATTATTGATTGAATATTTTTTAAAAATAGTTATAAAAAATAAATATTGAAAAATTTATTTTAATTGATTCTTATTTAAATAAAACAAATTACTTATCTTTAATAATTCCTTTATTATTTATTTCATTTTTCGTCACAATGACTAGTAAATCCATTACATATTTTTTTTACAAATTTACTATTGTTTAAGAATTTTTTAATTTTAAAAAAATGTTATATATTTTAACTATTAGCCAGAGTAATGATAATAGTTTTAATTATATTAATTTGGAATTGGGTAATTAAAATTTTTGTAAATATACGTTGTGTAAAAATCTTTTTTAATCTGAAGTTATGTATAATTTTTTTTTAAATATAGTAAATATCATATACTTCAATATTAATAAAATTTGATAGCATTTTATATTTACTTCACTAAATTCAAAATAAGAATTGCAATTTAATATTTTTCGAGATATTTACAATAACAAATTAGAGCAATATTTTATTTGCTTTGCTTATAATTTTTTCCCTCCTAATAATAGAGAAAAATGTTGGGAATGTTTTTTACGCAAAAGACATTAAACTTTTAGAAAGAAATATTAATTTTCAAACAATTTGTTTAAAAAATAAAATTTGTTTACCTATTTTCTTATTTTTCATGAAGGTTTTGAAAAAAAAAATTCTAAAAAAAAATTTTGAATGAAAATCTCATATTACGTATATAAAACCCTATATATATACGATAAAAAGACATTCAGGCGCTACATTTATGATAAATTATAATTTTTTTTTAACTTAATTAGAAATTATATAATAATTATTATGTTTACAGTTTCTATGACTCTTACTGATATTTCTTAATTTAACATCTTGTTTAATTATTTTCATTTTCAACTTGATATTTTAATAAATATACAAGAGAAATAAATAATTATGATCAGAGACTGACAAAAGTTATTATCGTCAAAAATGGTATATAGTCTATTTATTAATTAAAATTTATTTAAAAAAAAAAAAAAAAAATCCGAAATATTATGCAAAGGATGATAATTAAGAATGCGTGTATATTATAAGCGAATTTACAGATTATTGATGAGATTCTTAATTTTCTTATATTTCTTCATTGCATTAATTTTAATGTGATGCCATATCACGCGATATATGAAATACTGCCATACATAATAGATACAGTTTTAGATTCGCGTCCTCGTATATGTGTATATATTGTAAACTATTATATTACTATATTATATATATATATATATATACATATATACATTTTTAGACCGCCTTCCGAACATTTCTCTTCTATGTTATTATGCGAGGCTGTTGATAAAATCACTGTAATCCTCTCAAGAGAAGATTTAACGTCACTCTTCGTGACTTTCTTTAAAAAAAAAATCTCCACTCGTTTAATTTTAATACAAAATAATTCTTGAAAATTATTTTTTAAAATTAGAACTTTATTTAATAATTTATATTCATTCAAAAACGAAATTTTTTTAATTCATTGTTTTTGAATTAATGCGGTATATTTGGTTATATATTTATTTTAAAATAAAAATTTCTTTTACTTAAAGAAATTTTTTTTATATCAAAAAAAATTTATTCTGTATTTTAAAAAAATCTGTTATTCTTTAATTTAAAAAAAATAATTTTTTTTAGCAAATTTCTTTGATGTAAACAATAAAGTTGTTTAAATTAAAGAAAATTTATTGTTATAATTATTTCAAAATAAAATTTTTTTTAATTTAAAGAATTTTTTTTTCATTCAAAAAAATTTTTTTACCTAAAAAAATGTATTCTTTAGTTTGAAAAAAAAAAATTTTTTTCGGAAAATTTCTTTGATTGAAAAAATAATGTTCGTTAAATCAATGAAAATTTAGTTTTATATTTATTTCAAAATAAAAATTGTTTTTATTTAAAGAAATTTTTGTTTATTAAAGAAAAAAACTTATTCGAGATCTCAAAAAGAAATTTATTTCTTAATTTAAAAAAATTTATTCTTTAATTGAAAACAAAATTTTATCGGAAAATTTCTTTTATTTAAAAAATTTTGTTTTTTTAATTCAAAGAGATTTTTCTTTTAACGAATTTCTTTGTTTCAAAAAAAAAAAAAAAAAATGTCAGAAATATATATTTTTCAACATTTCTGCGTTTTTTATTTTTTGAAGAAAATCTCGTTTCCTTGACCGCTTTGATGAAAAGAATTTTATAATATCATAAATCAGTGTAAAAGTGCGCTTTTTTTTTTTAGTGGATCTGCAAAAATTATGCAGTCTGACAATGTACTTTTTGACATTGCGATTCTGATGGATCATTAACTTGTCTTCACACTGATTATATTCAACGCGCAACCATGAAAAAATTCTTTATAATTGCATTGCCATTTATAAAATATAAAAATTGATTCCACTTTAAAAAAAGTATATGGGAAAATAATTGTTTAAGTATATATATATATATTTTTTTTATTCACCAAAAATTTCTTAAAATAAAAATTTGCAAAAAAAATTAATTTTTTTTTTTTGCAAATTTAATATAAAATTGTATGCGAGATAAAAGTAAATGAAAAATTTCAATTTAAGCAAAGTGTTAATAAAATCTATTATTATAATTTTTTAAAGAAACTGGCTTTCAAAAATTGTACCTTTCTCGAATTAAAAACTTTCTAAAATTTTAAGCTCTTTACAAATTCTGAATGTATATATATATAATTTTCACTTTTATTGATATATAGGTGTTACTATATAGGATAGAGAAAGATTATATATGAAAATCTATATTTTTTCTATTAAATCTATTTTGAGAGTGTACAAATTTTTTTGAATAAAGAATACATATTTATATGAATTTGAATTTGTCTGTTGCAAACCATAATATGATTCTCTTATTATGTAATGTTAAACATTTTTTTTTTGTATCCTATAAAATTTTATTCAGCGTTGCATATATGATGAAATTTGAATATTTAAAAACCAAAAAAGGATTTCCTCTCAATTTTCTCATCTATATAGAAGTAATGAAAAGAATTTTAAATCAGGTATTTGAAAATAAATTCGCATCCAAAAATTTTTTTAAGAACTTTTTATGAAGCAACAGCTCACATAAAACCTGAAGAAATATATAAACATTCAAATGTATATATACCAATTATGTAATTATATACAGATATATATTCTTTAAAAAATTTTTTTATTTGTACTTTTTATTTTTAAGTAATCACAAATTTGAAAATGCGTAAAAACTTTTTATTGAGATTTATTTATTTGCAATTTACGACCCGTAAAATTTAAAAGAAAACAATTTTTTATGTGTTTAGAATTAATTAATTTTGAACGTATTTTATAGAATTTTTGTAATAAATCATAATTAAGTTGTTATTCCTACTTTTTTTTTTTTGTAAAAAAAAATTTTAATTAGGAACAAAAATAATTTTAACATCTTATAGAAATAAATTAATATTTATAAGTGCGTGTATACCCTTCTTAAATATACAGAAAATACATACATATAATGCTATAAAAAGAAAAATTTCATCATGAAAATTCAAATTTTGTGTTTTAGTTACTAATTGTATTTATATTGCCTCACAAATTAGAAAAAACAGATCTTGTATTAATAATTTTTTTTTTCTATTTTAAAATCGGAAGTGATCACGTAAATTATATTAATGCATCACACAGTTTAATAATAATATATATATATACATTTGAAAGTCAAATATGACCTTTTAATATAATTATGTAAATTATTTTAATATTTACAATGTATTTTTTTATTATTTATTTAAAATATATTCTATATATATTGTTAATATATAAAAAAATATATATAAAAATTAATAAAATAATTATAAAATATTTATTTTAATAATTGATTATTTTTCATGATATAAAATTTATTTAATAAATTTTTTTTTAAATCTCAAAAAATAATTACTAATTGAGCTGCCGGATCAAAGAAGGACACATCACCCATTTGAATTACATTAGTTATATATCGTTCTTTGATCCGACAGCTCAATTCTATCATCAATAAATTGTAGATTATTATTCTATAATATTTCGATAAAAGGAGTTTAATCGACCATGATCAAGTACTTTTATAGATTATAATTAACTTATAATGACCCCACAAATCATTTTATAATCTTCGTTTTTCTATAGTAAATTATGTATTACCATATTTTTCGATAACTATATCAAAATTATATTGGAAAATCGTGTGGAAAATTGTATAATAAAATAAAATAATTATAAATTGAATATAACTCTAAATTATTCGTTTTACTTTCATTAAATCCAGGGGAGCATATATGAGTTAAGATTCTCTGCGAGTTATTAATATAAGTAAAAATATTTCATTCAGGATAATTCTGTTGCGATTAATTATTTTGATTTTTTAAATTTTCTGTTAAATTGCTTTATTGAATACATTTGTTAAATTCAATCATGTATTTTATAAGGTAACCCGTGTGGAAATCTTCCCAAAGTCGCCCAAAGTGAGACTGGGCGCCAATCTGTGCCCAACTTGGCTTCCCAAAGTTTGAAAAATGAAGAAATAAAAGAATTAAGTTAATTAAATTATTATTTAAAAAATATGCTGAACAAATATACAGAAAAGCTCAACTGTGAAAAGCTGAAAAAAAATGTTTGTTTTTCATTGTACTTGGGCAAAGTTTGGGTCAACCCAACCTGGCCGCAACTGGGATTTCCCAAAGTATTCCCAAACTCAAATTCAATTTAATATTCTGTTATAAATAAATAAAAAACTTGAGAAATAATAAAACTAGTTAATTATATTTATATTTAATTTATATGCCGTTTGGAGATTCTTCCAAAAGCCAATATTTGGGCAAAATTCACATTTAAAGAAAAATAAGGAAATTGAAAACTTTAGTTAATTATATTAATGCTTAAATAAT